CCTGGGGGCCCAGCCCAGCAAGGCCGAGCTCCTCTCCGTCACGGGTAGGCCCTGCACTGCGGTCACCGTGCCCCTCGCTCACCAACGCCCCAGCCCCAGAGATGCGCTCCACCGCCGCGTTCCCTCTCCCCCGGGGCAGCCCAGGCCCCCCACTGCATGTGTTCTTTTGCCGCCTGTCTGTGGAGAGGAGTAAACGCAGGTCAGCGGCCTGGGGCAGAAGCCCGGAGAGGCAGAGTTCCCGTCCAGGACACGGGCAGGGCGGGTCACAGCCAGGAGGACGCTCCTCCTCGGCTGGGCGGGGCCAGCTCTTCCAGGGCGAAAGGCAAGGGACGGACCAGGGGACGCCGCAGGGTGCGTGTCTGGTGGCCCAGCCAAGGGACTTCTTCCCTGGGAGCCCTGGGAGCGGTGCCCCTTCCCCTGGCACGTGGGGAATGGGCAGGAGGAGGGGCCGGAGGGCGGATGAGGAAGGAGAGGAGGAAATGGCCGGCCTGGGCTGGGAGGGGCTGGGGGGAGCAGCCAGAAGGGGCAAGTGGCAGAAGCAACGGCCGACAGATTTCTTCTGTCCCTCAGTTCCCGTGTCTCGTCCTGTCCTGACCCTCAGCCCTCCTGGGGCCCGGGCCCTCGAGGGCGACGTGATGACGCTTCACTGCGAGGCCCAGAGAGGCTCGGCCCAGGTCCAGTACAGATTTTACCGCGAGGATGTCCCCCTCACCAGCCACTGGGCCCGGTCCGGAGCAGGCGCATCCTTCCACCTCACTCTGCTGGAGGAGCACTCTGCAAACTACTCCTGCACCGCCGACAACGGCTTCGGCCCCCAGCGCAGCGAGGCCGTGTCCCTCTGGGTCATCGGTAAGCCTTGCAGTCACCCATCATGGCCCAGACTCACACCGACCCCTTCAGAAGTCTGTGTGGACCTCCAGTGTCCTACCCCAGTCCTTGTCACAGAGCCATTTATCCACGGGCCGCAGTCCTCGGCCAGGCCCTGAGGCTCGCTCCCAGCTCTCAGCACGTGAACGCGTTTGCTCACGGCGCTGCGTGCCCGTGTATCCTATAGGGTCACATAGGGTAAAACCATGCGCGAATGTTCGGCTTCAGACCGGGAAGGGAGAACACAGCACCGAGGCAGAGTTCTGCGGTGACAGCTTAGGTGACCGGGAAGCCTAGCCCACCATCCGTGCGGGAGGAGGTCCCGACGTTCTGAACAACGATGAATCTTACGTGTCGTTTCCTGAAACGCCCATATCTCTCATCCCAGAAAGCCCGCTTCTAAGAATTTATTCCAAGAAACAGGTGCACAAATGAGCAACGATACGTATGCAGGTCGTTTAGGGTAGCGTTGTGTGAAGTCAGAATGCAGCGCCCAGCATCCGCTAATGGGCGCCTGCTGGAACGTATTACGATAAATCCGTGCGAGGAAATGCTTTGTGGTTGATAAAGTGATCAGGCAATGATTTACCCCAGTTATCAAAGTGTAATTTTAAAAGAGTTGCGTTTTATTGCATGTGAATTACACCTCAATAAGGTGGATTTTTGTAAGTGCTTGAGACAGGTCGTTAAGCAGTCACGTGGAAAGAGGGCCAGGTGTGTGGCCGAGGTGCAGCCCTAGCAGGCGACCGCGTCAGGTGCAGCCCTAGCAGGCGGTCGTGCGTAGGTTGTGACCCCATGCACGTGGGGGTATGTCTGTGCGGATAAGCGAGTATGCGCACGCAGAGAAAAGATCTAGAAAGTCACCAAATGCTCAGCAGAGGTAACCTCTGGAATACGAAAATAAAAGAAATGGAAAATCCTTTTATTTTTACTCTGTGTAACTTTGTAGACTTTCTTTTTTTATGAGAAGCTGTTTTCAATGCAAAAAAATAGACATTGGCATCGATTGATTTTTGCCCGCAGTCCCTGTGTCGTGCCCCATCCTCACCCTCGGGGCCCCCGGGGCCCGCGCCGAGCCGGGGGACGTGCTGCAGCTCCACTGCGAGGCGCCGAGAGGCTCGCCGCCCATCCTGTACCAGTTTTACCGCGGGGACGTCGCCCTGGGGAGCAGCCCGGCCCCCTCTGGAGGAGGCGCGTCCCTCAACCTCTCTGTGACCGAAGAACATTCTGGAAACTACTTCTGCGAGGCCGACAATGGCCTGGGGGCCCAGCGCAGCGAGGCGGTGACACTCAGCGTCACAGGTGAGTTGACCCTTCCAACTACAGCATAACAAGGGACAGACTTTCCCCCTGCCGTCCCTCGTCGCTGAGGCTGGAGGTCCCACAAGGCCATCTGCTGTGTGACAGTGTGATGATGTCCCCCGGCATCTGCAGACCGCGCTCCTCATGCCGCTGCCATCGCATTGCAACAACTCGGAAGCTCCAGCTGCTGCCCGGCTCAGGGCTTCGTGCACCGCGTCCGCCCCCCTCTGCCCCTGGTGGACCACAGGTGTCCCCCGAGGGAGCGCGCCCTGGCGGACCGACGAGGCGCGGTCCCAGCGGCGCCCGCTGCATGGCACCGCGGTGTTTACTCCGTGTCGGGGACCAACGTCGTCATCCTCTTCGTGTTTTCATCCCCGGCTCTTCCAGACTGTGGGCTTCCTGAGCTCGGGGACTGTGTCTTTCTCGCTATCGGGTCTCCAGGCTACAGTGTCATTCCTGGCGCCTAGAAATCGCTCGAGTAACTTTTGATGAGGGGAGACGTGTGAGAATGAACAATGTCCCGATCGATACTCACCCTCTCGTGGGCCTCCTCCACGACGCACCCGGCTCAGACCCCCGCACGCCCTCCCGTCCCCCGTCTTCCGTTGCACTGACTCCTCCTTGTCCCCAGGCGTCTTTGGACTTCTCAGAGCCCAGTCTCATTTTAATGTTTGTTTTCAGATCCCCAACCGCATGTGAGGCTGTGCACCCCAGACCCCCAGCCATGTCCGGCACTACGCGCACGTGTTGTTTCTGCTGGGTTCTGAGCGATGTCATCGAAAACTAAGGAAAAGAATCCTGTTTGAAATGTCCTTCCTATGAAGGACATTTAAACTGCAGGAGCTGAGGGTGAATTCTGTTTCCCCCGCAGTCCCTGTGTCGCGCCCCGTCCTCACCGTCGGGACCCCCGGGGCCCACACCGTGCCGGGGGACGTGCTGCAGCTCCGCTGCGAGGCGCCGAGAGGCTCGCCGCCCATCCTGTACCGGTTTTACCGCGGGGACGTCGCCCTGGGGAGCAGCCCGGCCCCCTCTGGAGGAGGCGCGTCCCTCAACCTCTCTGTGACCGAAGAACATTCTGGAAACTACTCTTGCGAGGCCGACAACAGCCTGGGGGCCCAGCGCAGCGAGGCAGTGACACTCAGCGTCACAGGTGAGTTGACCGTCCCCAGTAGCATAATGAAGGACTGGCGGCGTCTCCCCCGCAGCTGAGATGCTGCCGCAGCACCGCTGTCCACGGCCGTGACCGCCCAGCACACGTCCTGCCCACAGGACCCCTGGAGCCTGGGACCGTCCCTGGGGTCACGGCTTCGGGAGCCTGGGCCTTCCCGGCACCATGGTCCCAACTGTCTTCTTGAACGTGATCGAAACTCCCGGAAACGCAGAGAACGCTTTTTAGAACATAGCTATGTTGTTCCGACCCCAAATAGACACGAAAGGGGAGCCTGGGGGTCTCGGCTTCACCCCGCATCCTCTCCCCTCGCTGACCCCCAGCCAGCCGCCCGCTCTAGGGTGTCCTTCACTCCAAGGGACAGAAGTGCACCTTGCACTTCCGTGCAAAAAGTCTACGTTAACGTCAGCTGTGTGCGCAGCCTCTCGGGAGACATGTCCGGTCCACGTTAGTTTACAGAGTGACTCTTAAAGCCGTGGGGACACGGGACCAGCACAGGGAAGGTGACAACAGGAAGACGTGGAATGGAAATGGCCACCCATCAATCAAGTTCCTTCATGCTCCGAGCTGTCCTTTGACCTCTCGCCATTTGGTATAATGTCCAAAGGGACCGGGCTTCCTGCGAGCCACGACTGTTTGGTGATGATGCCCCCTACAAGCCAACGCCCAGACCCCCGCTTAAGGGGACCTGGGGGCCACAGACGTGCGCTAGCAGCTGTGGCAGTGGCTGTCGCAGCCTCGGCTCTGAAGACAGCCAGCCGCGCGGCCTCGATCCAGCGAGTTTCCCTGCGTTGACCGCAGCTTCCTCGCCCGCTGCGTGGGGAAATCAGACCGGGTGGAAAGGGTCAGCATCCCCAGCCCTTAGAAGGCTATGACTTTGGGTGCGTGGACAGCGTGGCGCGTTCAGACTTGAAGTTCCATGGAAGGAGCACGTGCAGGAGGAGGGGCTGGGAGTCCCTGCTGCTGGGACACGCCCCAGAGGAGCAGGAGATGCCGCGCAGACGCCCCGAGACCCGGGACGCGGAAGGCGGATGGGTCCTCCAGGTGTCGTGGCCGCCCCAGCTCTCGTAAGGAGCGGAGACAGAGTCATGTGAGCCGCTGATCTGGGGGTGCCAGCCCCAAACCCGGGGCCTCGTCAAGGCCGCCAACCCCGCCATCTCTTTGGCATCCAGGCCCCAACTTGATTTCAGAGTTGATGTTTCTCGTTTCAGCCAGTCCATCATCTTTGCCCGCCGGCGGGCAGCGTCCGCCTCAGCCATTGGCCTCTGAGTGCTGCGCCCCACTGCACAACGCAGCGAGCGAGCACACCAGGCCCCTATGCCCGCCGCTCGCAGTTTTCTGCCCGTCCCCCAGCTTTCGTTTCTGTGACTCCCGGCCACAAACACACTGCGTCTACTGTGGCTGTCACACCCGAAGGACTCTTGCCCGGCATGGATGAACGTGTCTGCATCCTAGAGCGAGGACGCGGGTCACATCGAAGAGGAGCCATCGCTGTCGTCACCGTGGACCGAACCCTTGGTGCCTGGCACGTGCTGTCCCGTTCATCCCTAAACCATTTAATCCCCGACCTTCAGGAAGGGAACAGAGGACCTGAACAGACACTTCTCCCAAGGAGACATAAAAACGGCCAACAGACAGGAAAACGTGTGCGCACTCCCACGAGAGCACGTCGCGGTGCCCGTTTGCCCACGGCCTCGGCGGAATTGTCAGTCTTCTATTTTTTTGCATTTTTTGCATTTTGCATTGTACACCTGTGAGTTTCAGGTGTACAGCATAGCGATCAGACATTTACACACCTTACGAAGTGACCCCCCGGTGAGTCTAGCCGCCCCCCACGCAGTTATGGGGCGTAACCGCCAGCCCGTGTTCCCCACGTGGCGCTTGGTCTTTCGAGCTTTGCCGATCTGATGAGGGTTTTTATTTGTATGTATCGGTAATGAGCACAGCCGCCTTTGCACGTTGCTGGGCTATTCGAAGCTTCCGGCGGCCAAGCCGGTGCCTGCGCACGGGGCGCTGTCGGTGGCCTGGGGCCCTTCGCCCTGCCCGCGGCCCGGTGTCAGCCGTTTTCCGAGGCTGAGACCCGCCCGGCTTCTTTGCGGTGCCCGTTTGTTCCTCTACAAACACGCTGTTTCCCCCGCAGTCCCTGTGTCACGCCCGGTCCTCACCGTCGGGGCTCCCGGGGCCCGCGCTGAGCCGGGGGACGTGCTGCAGCTCCGCTGCGAGGCGCCGAGAGGCTCGCCGCCCATCCTGTACCGGTTTTACCGCGGGGACGTCGCCCTGGGGAGCAGCCCGGCCCCCTCTGGAGGAGGCGCGTCCCTCAACCTCTCTGTGACCGAAGAACATTCTGGAAACTACTCCTGCGAGGCCGACAACGGCCTGGGGGCCCAGCGCAGCGAGGCGGTGACACTCAGCGTCACGGGTGAGTTCCTGTGCCCAGGCCGCCATGTGGACAAGCTGTGTGCTCCAAGGAAACTCTGATGGCCCTTGTTAAGCCCGGGCAGGTGGCGCTTGGGGGCGGGGACGCAGGCCGGGGGCCCCGGCGTCACTCCTGAAGCAAGAGAGCCCGAGTGGGACAGGAGAGGGTCGCCGGGTCCGCTGTGCCGACCGCCGCTTCTCCTGCTGCCACTGGCCGCCCGACCCCGCCCCTGGCAGAGGGGAGCCGTGTCCTTCCCACACTGCACCTGCACAGCCTCGGGAACCTCGTCCCTGAGACTCGGCCTCTGTCCCAGGCCCCGACGGGAGCTCGCGGGCTCTGGGCAGGTGGGACCACGGCCACGCCCTCCGGCTCATGCACAGCGTCCTCCTCAGGGCTGACAGGGAGCAGAAGCGGCTCTGCGGCCACAAGCGTCACTGGGGTGCTGGTCAGCATCATGGGCCTGGCTGCCCTGGCTCTGCTGTTCTATTGCTGGCTCTGGAGAAAAGAAGGTGGGTGACTCCCAACTGACCTCCTGACCTCTCCATTTCCCTGGCTTCTGCTGCCTTGGTCACCCCCAGGCTCTGGACAACTCCTCCCCACAAGCAGTCCCTCCCCCCCACACACACTCCGCCACCACCTTCCCCTCCAGGTCCCCAGAATTTGTCTTTACCGATCACAAAGTTTCCGAAACAGGATGGGATGGAGACCCCTTGAGCAGATGTCATGACCACTGTCACCGCAGCATCCCTCCCTTTCTACCCCGGCAAGACCCAGGGGGTGGGAGGCTGAGGAGGAAGACTCCGAGACACAGTGCAAGCGGAAGGCGAGGGGGTTCGGTAACGGTGCTGTCCACACGTGCGGGGGTCGCACGGCTGACGGAGTCTGTTTCCGGCCGTCAGCGAGGACGGCAACCCTGACACACTCCAGGTCAAAGGGCGTGGACCGCGGGCCCCCTGTAATCAGACCTCTCTGGGGACCCGGGTCAGTAGTTTCGCCCAATCTGCCACCTCCCTTGGGCACAGCAAAGAAAGGTCCCCGTTTTAGTGACAGTGACTCTCTCTTTTGCAGGAGAAAGGCCTGCCTCTGACCCCCCCAGGTAAGACCTGGAGTGTATTTCTGTGCAGTTCGTGAAAGGCCTGCCGGGTATAGAAATGGAACTGAGTCTGGGCGTGCCCTGCCACCTCCCTGGGGCACCTCGAGGCAATTCCCAGCGCCTTCCCACCCACCACCCTCGCCACACAGCCTTCTCCCCGCGAAGTGACAACTGTGGCCATGGCTGCCTGAGTGAGGTTGTGAGCACTGAGTCCACACCCGCTGTGACAGCCCAGAAGGTGGAGTCACACAATTCTGGGCCCGAGAAGGCGGGGCCCTGTCTCGAATCGCAGAGGCCACCTCAGGGGCCACAGCGCCCACACCTCTGGGCTCCTTTGAGCCTTGCCTGTTACCGGGGTCTCGGAGACCCCGGTTCCTCTGAGCGTGGGGGCTC